TTTTGGCATTTTCAACAAAGTTTTCAGCGGCTTAACTTTTCCTATCTCTCTAAAAGCACTTGTGGTATCGCATCCACTGAAGGCATGCAGAGCTATAAGAGCTGTACAATGTTCCTGCATATAGTTCTATACAGTTCAGAGACATTGATCAACCTTTTCTTGTTTCCTGGTCCTGTGTTGAAGAGAATTGTGATATCCTCCGTTTTGGATGCATAATGTAAGAGAATGTAGAAGACATCAGTGTCTGGACTCTTTACCTGCACATATGAAAAGTTTTTGCCTCGTCTATATTCACAATATAGAATAACTCTTGAGTCTGTTTCTTTTTGTGACGATTCCACTGTATCTATTTCCAAAGCTCAGGTTCTTCTGCCATCTTGGAATATCAACAAATGTGCAACACCTTCCCAAATGAAAATTATCTTTATTCCCTGTAATTTTGATACATATTCACCACTTCTCCATAATCTCTTGATCAGTTGAATCAATTGGGTCTTGTTTTGAGCATTTGACATGAAGAGTTTCCAATCAAGTGGTTTCTTAATTGCCTCACCTTTCACTATCAGCTTTTCCCCACAGGAAGAGTCCAGTCCATTGCCTTAATAGACCTCGTAAAATATTGGTCTGTGATTAATACTGCATCACCAGTAGTCGCCATTACATCAAACAACACTTTGGAGCAGATCTGACTGAAACAGCTGGATAGGTCCTTCAGGTAATAGAAGTAGATATTACCATCATTTACAATGATGGTCTTTCTCTGAGATAATATGTCAGCATCTGGATAACCCTTCGTCAAGTACTGGAAGCTCTTGCTTTTATCTGTTTTGGCAAGAATTCCATCAGCAGTTCTAATGCTTTAAGGTATTGAGGTTAAGGGATACGTCATCAGCTCCTTTAGGTCGAGTTGTAGACCATCATTTTTGACCTCACAAACAACTGGAAGGCGATATTACCCTGTTGTTTGTACTGTATTGCTTTGAGTTTAGCTGTTGTTACTTTTGCAACCTTGTTCATGCTTCCCAATGTCTTCAAATTCAGTCGCTTCACGGGCTCACAAAATCTCTACCGGTTTGGAATCGTGTAGATATGAAGTCTTCTTTAGCACATCTTCCCAGATCTTCTGATTCAAACACTTGTTTCTCTACTGCTGCACCAAAAGAGAGGATCTGTAGCTGGTCTTCTGTTTCCACATTGAATGGATTCAAGAAATTCTCCACTGCCTCACATGTTCTCATTACAGTCCTTTCACTTTTCAGTATCTCTGATGGACGAACATCTTGATGTTTCGTGCCCTTACTGGAATCTGCTAGCATATTAGCCATGCTAAGAGTGGCGTTTATATACTGTGATCTCGCATGAGTTGTTCTCACCTAGCGCTTGTAATAATTCGTCAGTAAACCAGATACCCCTGATCCACTTGCACCATGTGACTTTGTGTGCTGCATGAATATTTCTTCCATCGTCTTATCTACATCACAGTGGTTGCTGGGGATGAACGAACGTCAATCAGATATTTTGCTCAAGGATGGGATGTTTCTATATTTGATAGAAAAACGTAAGATATCGAGCATAGTTGTGTCCTCCGAAGATGATGAATAAGTCTGTCATCCCATCCATACACTGTGCATTGAGAAGAAACTTATTAAACTTGACTGCTTCAATCAGCGACAGCACCAGACCAACATGCTCCATGTAAGACAACCAGAGCTGGGCTGTTTTCCAAGTTTGCTAGATCGAACCTTGCTGCAGAACTGGATGTATCTTTGGATGTAAGTGGTGACTATAGTGGATCATATTTCAAACCTGGCACATATAGTATGCATACTGGGGTTTTTTCTTTTTTACTTTCTGAAGCACCTCCATTGCGATTCTGTTTCTGTGGAGCTTTAAATGCCATCACAGGAAGTTTTCAGAAATATGAGATCAATGGTAACGCCTCAGTAATGAAGAGTCATCCTGAAAGTACAGAAATTGAGAGAATTTGAAACCATGGTCATTCATTGATCAACAAATATTACATTACAAATATCTCCAGCCCGTGATAATATTCGTAATACCTAGAAATACTCTGTAATTGGAAACTTAAATATGGAGTTTACTTAATTAGAGTTAAATAACTTTAAATGAAATATTTGCCTGTTCCTCCTCACCGGAATAAAACTTAACTAGTAAGTCCAACTGCAGGATATGTGCCTTAATATGGGAAAATTATACCTGAAATACAAATTGTAAAGACATATTCATTATGAATCATATTCATTAATATACACAGTTGGATGAAATGTTTTTGAATAGATAAGTTATCTCTCATTTGCTATGATAATTATGATCAGTATAAAAGCTATGCTCAGAAAGAATACATTAACGGACATTCGTGATCTCTTATGTTATGAAAATGCATTACATTTTATATCCCGGGCGAACCCCAGTTATATATAAAGTGACATAATTCCACTTCCAGCAAAGATAAACTGATGATTTTGGTGTCAAATGACAAGTAGAACATAGTAAAATGACACAATATACAAACTGAATTATTTTCATGGCAAACTTCTTTGCCACAGAATGAAAAGTAAATATATATATATATATATATTAATTTTCTATTTGCACCCTAGCATTAGGCTAGGGTACGGTCGTTTGGCGGAAAAATTATTTTCATTATTGGGCCAAATTATTCAAAATATAATTTAATGAGAATGAAGTGGATCATTACCTTTCATTTCATATATAATATACTAAAATAAGATAGGTTTGAGGTCCACGGTAAATGATTATATAGTGGTCATTTAATCTTGATCTGCATCGACCAGCGTCAACGGGATTTTAGGATACCCAAATATATAGATGCTAAATGGGTATTGCATCCATATTTTATGCTGTTAACAAGTGATATCATTTTTAGAACAATTCTAGGCTTAAGAAAAAATTGGTCTGGTTAAGTTGTGGGTGGGTGCACGGAGGGCCTATCTGACCCGCGGGCTAATAATTCTTACTAATCAGCACTTTCTTCTGAATTATATAACATATTTAAACTAGGCTATAGAAAAAACATAAAAGTAAGATAGACTAAGGTAATAGGATTCAAAATAAGTATAGCGAAGAGAATCTGCTTATATCCCTTTGTCAGTAACGCTGGACTCTGTTGGTAATGTTCAAATTGGCCCAGTGGTTGATCTCAAGCGGAAGTCTTGAGTCTAAATCCCAGTTGAGTGGGAATTTTTAATAACCTTTTAAATTATTAACTCATCATGTTTAGAGAAAGATAATACAATATTAGGAAAACCCACAATAAAATATCAGTTTACTTCAAGTGAGTTTCTCATCATCGTAAATTTGAATTATTTGTTAATATTGGATTCTAAACACTGGTTATTACAGTGAATATATAGCGTTCGACTATCATGTGGGAATCTCATATCCAAATCGAGATATTTGTTCTATTTATTTTTTAATATATTTATTATCATAGCTATAACAAGCTCTTTGAATATTCGGAAGAATACAATTAGAGAATAAATCAGGGATAACATCATATTACATTATAAATACCAATAACTGTATGTGTAAAAAAAAACTTAAATATCTTTTCAACTCAATAGATGGCACTAAAATACATTATTAGTGATGTTTTTCACAGTAGGTAAGAGATTTTAAAAAATTATGAGCATTTAGTACGAAAAGTTATACCTTTGTGCACTTACCTTTCACAATCAAATTATTTGCCTTTGCTATCACAATTAAGAAATTACAGGGTCATACATTTGATTATTTAGGAATATTTCTTTGAGAACCATTTTTTCCGCGTGATTAAATCTGTAATGGTTTATAAAGAAGCATATTTGAATATAACATAAGTCAAATTATAATCAAGGACAACTTACAGGAGGTAACCAAATGTACACAAAAAAACACTAGTTTAAAGGATAAATATTCTTCATAC